CGAAGAATCACATTTCGACTAGGTATGTCCAAGAAGAAGAAATAAAAAATATCACTGTATTACGACTGGATTTGATAGACACGCTGTACATCATCTCAGTTTACTGTTCAGAGATTCTCCTGGAGTCCACAGTTCCAGATGATTAATTACATTTGCTTCCTATTTCTGATTCATTTTGTCAGTTAGCCTAAATATCACGCTATTCAATATGAGGAAGAATCACATATTCACTTTGACTGCCACGTCAGTCATTTTTGACCTACAGCTTGATCTCGTGCTGAGTCTATGCATTTTCATTGGTTCGAAGTTTCCAGAGTAGGGGGCATCTAAGTGATCAGCATATTGCTGCTCAGACATTGTAAAGTCGTTCTGATGCACAGAAGAGCATAAAAGGATGTCAACTAAAATCGACCGACGCGACCTGACAAGGCAATTTTTTTCAATGTGTATAAGTAAAAGTGCATGATATACTCCTATTAGTTATTAATTTATCGATAAACCCAAAGGGCTTGGAACATTTGCTATAGCAGCCAAAGGATAAAACACCGAAAGCTAGAAAAATTGTCTAATTTGTAACAAAAATCTCGTGAAGCAATATGTACAAGAAAGAGGGCTAAAAATAGGGTGAAGAGAGTGTGGACGCATTGAGAAGGCTGCCAAGAGATGCCTTCTATGTGCATTGAATGTCATAAGTGTAAACCCATTCCAACAATAATTAGATTCTTATATGTTCATGAGTTTTTTCACATTTTATTCAATGAACGTTTTTGAGGAAACTTTTGTTGTCGGTTGAAAATCACTGCCAAGCACCGTTTTTCATAAGTCACTGTCGGTCACATATGACTGACAAAGCTTGTAATAAAGAGAGAAAAACTGAGTCCCGGCAGCCGGAATATTAACCCATTAGTGCATGAAGTAACTTTTTTTCTTATCTCTTTATTCTGAAGATGTATACTCATTCAATATAACCAAAGAAGGATAACTCATGACGAAAAATTTTTTGTTTACAACCGATTTTTTTTATATGACACGTCCATTTTAATAGACTCCATGCAAATTGGTTCATGGATGAAAGTGATCAGTAGGGAATCTTAGTATTCATTTTTATTCAAGTACATATCCAGAACATGAAAAACTCAATAACATTAATCACAATATTATCAATAATAATGATAATAATGATAATAATAATAATGGAAATTATACGTCATGATGACTTGATACATTTTGAAGCATCTCTCAGATGCAGTCCTATTTTACATATAAAATTGCAATTTTGTATACTCTACTGAATGGAATTCAGCTGATGGGTATATGGAAATGAATCATATCAAGAAATTATTTGGGATGATACTTTCAGACCTTTTTTTGGTGCTCTTCACACGATCCAGTGGAGGGAAATGTGAACCCGTTGAAGAAAAAGAGGAGTCGGACGAGTGGATGGAGTCGTGTCTATAGTTGACGTGCTGCAGTATAACATACAATCATTCGATGCTATAATATTTCTTTTCATGATGCAAAGATGTATATTATCTTCAATCCCATCAAAATAAGATCAGAATAACGAAAGTCGCACGGCTGTTCGATAATTCCTTCAGAAATATGATTTATTTTGGATTTGCAGTTCCTAAATTCGAATAACTGCATTTCTGCCAACTTTCCTTCTGGAGGCAATATAATATATACATATCCGTTGGTTGATCGATATCTGAGCCATTTTCCATATGTCTAAGAAGTGTTCCAAGAATAATCTGCAAAAAAATCTTGATGACAGATAAGAATATAGAGTCCATTATAATGGACACAACACAAAACAATATTTTTTTAGTGTCTTACAAAAAAAATTTTTCGAATCACCTCATAGGTTCATAAACACAGGCATATAATGAGATCTTGAGGGATATGAAATTCTGAAATTCATTATACTGCGTTATAATAAATACTTACCCTCCTTGTCGGGTACAATACGAAATGCTATCCATTTGATCACGTGCAGAATATTGTCGAGATAAAAATTCATGAAATAGAAGCGATAGCTGTTGTTGTTGAACTACACTAATAGTTCTGGCGCATGAAACATTCAATGCCTGCATGATTGACGTCACAAAAAATTAGAGAAGGAGCGTCCATTATAAGACACATTATGCACTAATGAGTTAATGTCAAAAACATTAATGGAAAATTTCACTGTATTACAACTGGAATTGATAGACACGCTGTACATCATCCCAGTTTACTGTTCAGGGATTCTACTGGAGTCACTGCGATGCCAGGCAGCAGCACGAACGACATTTTGAATAATTCAGCCCGTGCGAGTACCCACCCTGCAATCCTCCTTGCAGAGGTCAATACTGCTCGAAAACATGGCCTTGCGACTACGATCTACGGCAGATTGGCATTCTTCAAACACGACTCTGGACACGTCAATCTGGCTTTCATCGATTCAGAAGGGTGAGTGGGAATTCATGAAAGTTGTATCGAGATCGAGAAAATTACACTTCGAACCTTTGTGAATAATCAGGAATCTTCTCAGTAAAGAAAATAGAATATTGATTTATTAGGATCAAAAGTGACACTTTGTTTGACAAGCGAATTTTGCATAGCCGAGTGAAAGCAAAATTTGCGATGCAATGCAACAAATAATCCGTGTGGTGAGAATATTCAACCTGCATTAACATATCAGGTTCATTCAATTCTCAAGGACGTTCGAATTGTAGTTTCAATATAAATACATCAACCACAGAGTGACCCATTTGTGTTTGGACCATCAGGTGTCAGCCCTAATAGCAAATACCGCGCCAGTGCCAGGTCATCGAAAAACAAGTCTGGAAGTTGTTGTTTGATGGCCAGGTATAGGAATAAGACGTGGAAAATGTTAGGTTAGTGAGCAGAGTGTGTTCACTGGCGTCGGTGATTAGCCTCAGTGGCAGAAAAAGACCGACGTTAGAGAAACTATTGAAGGAGAAGAAGAAACATAATAATGACGATTAGTTATCTCTCTCTCTCCATACTCCACTGTGTTTGGCACGGTAATCAAATGATAGTAAAACAATCTCGTTGTGTGAGACAAAAAACTATTGCTGGCCGTGAATATTCAGAAACAAATTATCCCTCCCGAGAATAACGAATGAAATACAGATCAAGCAAGTATCCGAATCTTGGAGGCTTCCTTGATCAAAACAAAAAAACTTAACTGAGATGTTTATAATTCCTATATAATTAACTATTATAAGGTGTATTTATATCTCCAGCATGAGTATGAAATGCCAAATCTGCTGAAATCGGAAACAATTCAGATAAGCCTCTCAACCCAAATAACCAACCGTAACAATGTTGTTTATTCTTGATGACCTCTACACAGGAGCTTGAGTTCAACGTTAGTTCCTAGGAACTAATAGTGTTGCCTAGCAACATACCTATGTTTGGGTCAGTAATAGAAACGTCAATTCAAGAGCTAATTTTGTTATTGAAATGAACGACTTTTGTGTCGGTTGCAGAAAAACACTATAAATCATAAAATACAACCAACCAACTTACATGAGATACAGGGTGTCGCGTTAGCTTCAACAATACGAGATAGAGAGAAACTTCAAATTTGAAAGTTGTAGGATCTCATCTATACTATCTTTTGGCACTCCTTTAACAAACAAACAAAAACAAAATTCTGATGTAAACTTTGGGTGTGGTGTGAGAAATATCATGAATACAAAACTGTCATTTTCTAACAGATATGTTGGTTTTTCAATTAAATTGGGTCATTCCAGAAAGGAAAGATATGGAATAATAATGGATTATAGTTATGTATTATAAAAATATTGCACAAATTTCAGTAGCGCAGCAAGAACTACGAAGTCGAAAATGAATGATTTAAAATGGAACATTAGCAAACTATATAATGTATATTTGTGAACGAAAGAGAAATATCTTTCACATCAGTTGAAAATATACAGGATATTTCATTCAAAAAATGATCTGTACTCTTATTTTCATTTTGCGATGAAACATGAAAAACCCAACAACTTTCATATTTGAAGTAATTTTCCATCTCGTATAGTTGGAGCTGTAGGTAGGGGCTCAAAATATAAGGAGACACTCTATACATACACACCAACGAAGTACATACCGGCTGTCACAGGTCATAACTTCCAGAACATTATGTGCTTCAAAATAAGATTGATTATAGGTGGATGATATGTGAAAAGGAGAGTTTTTCATATTTTCCATTTCCTAGTCACATCTGGTTTCATACATAGGAAATAGCACCAGCTTAGAATTATTAAATAGAACACGTATATATTGAAACATTTTAGATAAGTTTCAGGTAGGTAGTATTTTTATGATAATTTTCTTCGTATGATTTTGAACCAATCAGATCAAAATGAGATTTGATATAGGTGGATGATATGTGAAAAGGAAAGTTTTTCATATTTTCCATTTCCTAATCACTTCTGGTTTGATATATAGGAAATGGCACCAGCTTTGAATTCTTAAATATAACACGTTTATATTGAAACATTTTAGATAAGTTTCAAGAAGGTAGTATTTTTATGATTATTTTCTTCGTATGATTTTGAACCAATCAGAACGTTCAATTGAGTTAAGCTACCTTGTATAATTACGAATATACGTGGATATACATAGAGTAATACCGCCAATCAGATATTTCGAATTATTTCCATAGATTCATATTGTTCACCTACAAAGCGCGTCGTGAAATGTTGACGTTGGTTAAACAGAATATTTCAACTGTCAAACTGACACTCTCTGTAATCATGCAAGCTATCGATGTATAACCTGAATATTTTGAAGTACTCTTAGTATTACTACTGAAAATAAATAGAGCAGTGCCAATAGTCACCTAAGAAAATATCTCCAAGTATATTCATTATCATTTCTCTATCCATTTCGGTCATAGATAATATATTGTGATTGTCATTTTTTAATATTGTCTACTTGTATCATATTCTTGTTTCCTCTGAGAGTTGATGCTCGACATGAATCAGTTTCGAATCAAAAGTCAATTGCATTCGCCACATAGAAAGACATATCCATATTTGATAATTATATTGGAACAGCAAATGTAAGTTGGAAGATACAGTTTTTGAAGCCAATATACCCGTGATCAATTCGTTTTACTAAGGATTCCAGTCCTCTTTAATGATATCGGCCGCTTTCTCTCCAACCATGTATGCTGGACCAGCAGTGTGTGCTGTGACAGGGTGAGGTATTATACTGGTATCTGCTACTCGTAGTCCTGCTACTCCATATACCCTGAGTCGTGGGTCTACCACAGCTTCTGGGTCAGTTTTTGGTCCCATCTTACAAGTAGATACCTGATGGTAAAGACTGCCTATGAGAGTTCTCAGAGCACACGCCCAGTATTCATCAGTATTGAATATCTCTCTCTCACATCCTAGAAATAGATTAGAATAGAATCATAATTAATCTCTGGTAGAAGTCCATGTTTGCTCAAAGTGAAGTGGAATTTTATATAGTAAAGAAGGAAAGCTCAAAGTCATCTCCAAACTATTTTAATGATTATTCAAGGGGACATATTTTGGACTTAGAAAAGTCCATCTTCAGCCCAATTAAGAAGTTTTTCTACTCACATAACTAAAATGGCATTTAGCGTACGGATCCACACTAAATGATCGATTAATCACGAATTGACGATCTGTGATTTATTCAAAATATCAAACACGTTACCATGGCAACACGATTTCTTAAACACATTACCATGGCAACACAGTTCATTAAACACAGCTTCAGTAATTTGAGACATGTCTGGTCTGTCAATTGTATTAACTGACAACTGTTATTTTCAAATTTTATATCTGAATTATTCGAACAATATTCGTTTGTATCAGAATTCTTCATTGAAAATATATGCGAAATGTAGACGGAAGTGAAATCGAAGAGAATGTTGTGGTACTTGCATATCTCCAAGAAGTGTAAAAATGAAGCATCTATCTTTGAGAACAATTTATTTATTCAGCGCTAAGCATGAGAATAAACGTGAAACAAAGGTTAGTAAGCAATGGACTGCAAACATCTACAACCAATATCACTTATACGTGTCTCGCTGGTTGCATGCAGTTGCATGTATTATGTTCCCAATTCCCATTCCTTTCGAATTATCCTGTAGGTTAGCAGGAATAGCAGATATATGTTAATGTAATTTTCGGAGTTCGTAGAAAAAGCATAGTATGTAACGCGTTTATAAACTCTTCTAGACACTCGTTTATTAAACACTCGCTCCGCTCTGCTCCGCTCGTGGTTAAAATACTCGTTACTAAAAGGACGTTTATAACACTTGTTACATAATATACTATAATGGAGGTGAAACATATTCAAAAGTTGGTGCCAATACCCAACATCATATAATCATTGTCGAGGTTCAAAACATTTTGAGAATAAACGGGTTTTTATAAACATAAAGGGCCCCGTGCCCTGAGAGGGCTGAAGAGGGACTTTTCTAAGTCCGAAACATGTCCCCTTGAATGAGCACATCATTAAGAAAGTGTGGAGATGACATTGATTGAGCTCTCCTTCTTTCCTATGTAGAATCATTATTGCATTCCGCAAGTCAGTATATTTGGAATGACAGATACACTAACCATAATGAAAGTTGCTCGAATATTATAGAGATTCCCTTTCGTGCGTTCCAAGCAATGAGAATAGTCATTTATGTACCAAGAATAAAACACTGTCTATTATAGGCGGGTCTGCAAATTGATAGCCGAGGCCTTAGCCGAGGCTAGCAATCAGGCGAGACAATAATAGGCAGTTTTTCGCCGAGGTGCATACTAAATTCTTACGTCAATTTCAAACACTTATATTCACATCACACGGTCCTTTCCACACGTGAAATCTATCAGATTCGGTGCCAGTTCGATTTTTATTTCATCAGTAAATACCTGGAATGATTGAGTCAGGCAATTTTTCTTGAAGAATATTCTTCAGCTTACCAATTGATACCATATTTGTCAATATCCGATTGATAATCGAATTACAAAATTGATAGTAACAGAATAAATTCTTGAATAGAGATTATGATGAGTCTAGTTGGCTATGATTTGTTTCTATAAAAATCATAAAACTGTATGTGAAATGATCTCCTAGATGAAAATTGTGAAAATATACAGGGTGTGCTATTTGAAAATCGAAGGTCGAGTATATAACGGACGTTGAGAACAATAGTGTGACAACTCAAAAGAGTCGATTTTTTGGGTTAGAACCACGGTCGGATAGCAAATTTCGAGCTCTACACTTCTAGAATATCGTGACATCTCTAGGTCCAATAGCTGTTACGTGACATCGCTTGTCACGTTATTGCACTAGAGTTGAAGTAGGTAGTACAGCCGAGCAACAAAGTGACTTTATGCGTTGTCACCTGAATTTTTCATGATAAATAATGTGACAAGTCATTAAGCCACCTTATTGATTGAACATAATTTGAAATTTTTCGAGTTGTCACTTTATTACATTGTCATCATTGAATGAAATATTGAATCAAATGCAACAAATTTTCGAGTTGTCATGTTAACAATATGGAATATTTCGATTTTTCACATTATTGCATGCGTTGCACTTGATGAAATGGAGTAGATAATACGAGTTTTGCAGAAAGATTGAAATAATAGCAACAAGAAGATTGCCCTAGAGAATGAAAAAAAGACATAAGAAACTAGAATGAAACTTTCGAATGTATGTAATTTGAAAATTTCTTTTTGCATGTAATATCAAGCTTCACCTTATGTTTAAATTCCAATTTTGGAAAATATATTATGATTCCTTCGGATTAAACATCTTGGAAAATGTGTGTTTGGAAGAATTTCCAAGAATAGATTCAAATTCAAGTTTCATTCATTATAGGAATTTCCTCCTTTCAGAAAATTTACCTATACCTCATTCGTGCCTATAGTCACTTCTCTTCCCAAACTTTGGCATTTCAACTTTATGCGAATTTTCAATGGAACTTATTGGTATTCAGCTCAAAATTTGTCTTTTGCAAATACACGTTCGTTTTTATTCAAAAACTAAAGAAAATAGAAGAACTACCAAAAGAGGAATGTTCAGCAACCGAAGGGCACGATTTGGATTTTGCTGAAACGATAGGAACTCAGAGCACATATTCAATGAATCCAGTCATGAATATAATGGGGTCTACAACAGCAGAAAAATACCTATATACATGTTATAAGTACGGCAACTTCTTGAGATGTAACATGTTAGAAAATTGCAGCTTTCAAGGCGTGTCATCTCTAAAAATTGTCGAGTATGAAGAATCAAAACTGTAACATGTCGAAACTTTTTCTTGAGAAATGGAAAAAATATTCGAAAATATTATAACTAAAAATTTCCCATGTAAGCTTATGACATAATGATATAATCTGAACTAAATATACCTTTCGCGGAGATTAATTCATCATCATCAAGAAGTGAACGGAGAATTTTTAATTATCACACTATTGCTCTCAACGTGCGATTAATTCAAAATGTGTGATTGTATCAGTGAATGCGAAATAAGATGTTATTTGAACACTCCGACCTTCATAATTCTATCTCAAGCTCATAGTAGTACCTACCTGGCAAAGGAGTATCCACTAGAGTACTATCATATTTCTGCATCGCTGGACTCTGATTGATCCTTTGAATTTCTCTTATTGCTGCTATGAAAGTTCTTATATCTGTATCGTCTGGATCTGATAGATAGTTCGCAAAGAATTTCGGTGCATCAAATGGATTTCTTGATTCAAGCTTGATGAAGCCTCTGGACTTAGGATGAACTAACATCGGGAAAACCTAAATATATTGGAAGAGATAAGTGACAATCCTATATTTCTTATTATGTTCTTCAAGAATATTCAAACAAAAGAACGCTGAATATCATGGAGATATTACTCTTCCAGGCTTATCGGTGAAAAATTGTCTCCAACGTAGTGACATTTCTGAACATATGCTTTCTACACATACATTGAAATAATACTCATATTTTCATTCATCCCAAAATGAATACCTGGTATACTGGTTTCCCTTCTAAAGGCTTCCATATCTTATCATAGGTTTCTGGAGGAATGTTGAAGATTCGTCTATAGATAGTTCCAAAGTCTGTATTGATTGATCCTCCTACCATGAGAAGTTCCATGTCAGGATATGATTGATCAGGATCAGTGGATACGTCAGTTCTTATATACATTATCACTTCACAACCTCCTGTAATGACATCAATAGAATGAGAAGCAATAATATCTTGTGGAGATTCTGAATATGAAGAAAATACTTTTCCTTCATTCAGCCGTTTGAATTTCTTCAGAATCAGAATATCCCCTTCTCACAGAAAGACGCAAACATCAATAAATACTTCCTAACAATCAATATTATGTTTCACTCCGTAATAGTCATTCAACCAACTAGTATATCAATCGCTTTATCAATATACCAGTTGGTTGATAAAAAATCCGTTGGCTATACATATTATCTCCTGCAATGAAGAAAATTAGGTTCGCGAACTCGTTATCCTGAAACTACTAACAATCATCTATCAATGAAAGTCAACTTTTCACAGAAAATAGTACCATTTGACATTGGTCGAAATTAAACAGGGAATAAAATAGGTTCAGAAATGTTGAAAACATCCCGTTAACGTAAAATCTTCGATGGAAACCCTATCTTATTCGAATGCAGATTCCGTAAGTCATAATCTTAACGAAAGTGAATCAACGCAGTGTATGTTTGGTTGTCTATATCACACTCGATCAATAAAAGACAAAATTGATTGTTAATAGGGTTCATTACTTAACAATTTCGTGTAGATCAATCAAACTTGTTAGTTCGAAGTCAACGGTAAACATGAAATACTACATGAAGGTATGAGTCAGATCTGGACATCAGATCATTAGCTTCACTATTTGATCAAGTGAAATCAACTCTGATATAAGGAATCGACCGAAATTGAATGTTGATGAGTATGTATATGTTGGCGTCAATTAGTGAAATCCGTCATTCCCTGAAATGCCTAGTTATTTCACGTATTGTCGGCAAACAGCGTAACAGCGTAACTTTCATTTTTAGAAAGTATATTTCTTAGAAAATTGCTAGAGAGAACAGAATATTATACTACTTCTTCTGAACAACCTAAGCTGACTCGGCCTAAATGAACCTTCCTTCCGGCATAACAGGGAATGCCTGAAACTATTAGGCAAACGGTGTACGAAATTTAGAGTTACGCTGTTTGCCGGCAATACTTGAAATGACTATAGGCATTTCAGGGAATGACGGATTTCACTGTTTGACGCCGACGCATATACTTCATGACTGATGTCAGCTACCTAATGTAGTAAAGGGTCCTCTTCCTCTTTTGAAGTCGATATATGATGCAGGACTGAGAAGAGCTTCCACCTGGTTGAAAGGTATACTTTCATTCACCCGGAAGAAGATTCCTGGAAACGTAGCGTGGTCATACATTATCTCTCCCACGGGAAGATTTTGGAGAATTGGAATTCCTAGAAATATAATACAATTAGCAAATGAGAGATTGCTGGATATATACTCTGAAAAATATCGCATCCAACTAGAACTAGTTAGAAGAAATGCTGATATTTCACGAATATATGGATATTGCTCGCCACTATATACTTATAGAGATTGCTTCCTAATTGATTAACAATATTATAAGAGGCAATTCTGGGGCCCATTTCAAGAAGAAAATTTCATATGATTGTATGTCCCAAACGTCTTAACTTTTGAGATACAGGGTGGTGAAGTTCTCGAAAATACTAATGCTCTCAATATATAATATTTCTAGTTGGAATTTGAACATAATCATGCATATGCCAAAAACAACACTCGTGACAGATATGCCAAGATCAAGATGTTTCCGCACCGATTTTTTGTTGCGCCCTGTCTCTTTTGCGTCCTGTCTCTAGATGCTCCTTGACAGCTATTATTGAATTCGTGCATCCTCAACAGGTCTCTTCAGGTCCATCAAGTAGAAAAACACATCATGGAAAGCCTAGTTCTACTTCATAATGATATTCGAAACGCATTTCGAAATTATTCAATGGATTGTCCATCGTTTATTGAATATGAGAACTCCACGTTCCGAACTCGCATTCAATTGTTCATATCGAGAGCTAGTCTGACGAAATAATTGAATCGGGCACACCAGAGGAATTATAAACATCTCAGTTAGGTGCCGTCTTGTCGCTGGAAAACCTAAGGAATCGTTTTTTCGCTGTCATATTCACAAAATCACAGCGGCTTAGCGGATTTCTTATACGTAAGTTAAATTGTCACAAAAAATGGTTGTGAATAACAGAAGAAGAAGGGCTCTCGGAAGAGCTATACACACATTGACTCACATATTTCAGGAACATAGCAAAGTGTTCAACAGTAAAAACACAACAGCATTTTTTATCAAAATAATGTCTCTTCATAACGAAAAACATTTGACAATCAGTTATTTCTTGAGGATAAGTGGCATGAAAAAATAGCGCGACTGTATAGGTCGAACAATTTAGTCTAATGTCAGTATTTCGAGAGGAATAACTGATAGAAAATGTTTGAGTTAGTGAGAAAATGTATGATTTGGTAAAACTGCACTTATCATGCGATGGTTCTTTTTTTTGGAAATTTTTTTTGGTACTTACGTATTTTCGTCTGAAAAACTCGAAATTTGAAAATGAAAATGTGAACAAACCACTGTTTATCGAGATATTCTAAGAAAAAGTTCGAAATTTTGCCTTATTTTCCCCCCTGTGTTGGATGCATTTACAGCAACTTGCTCTTCTCATTTTGTCATTGGACACTTTATATACTCATGATGTACTTCAATAACACATTTTTATACGGAAATATTATTTTTATGACGAGTCATGCATATTTAGTAAAGAATCATACCAGATGACGGCTATTTTATCAATAGTCAATTCAAATACGAGATGTCAAATATCAACAGAGTGCCCTTGAACGACATTACACACGCCATTATTTTAAATATTATTCTTCTTCTTTTCACTAAATATGGATAAATCGCAAGGAAATCATATATTTCTAGTTGACTCATATAATAGAAAAAACGTGTCATTGAAATCCATCCAAGTGATATATAAATTGTCCAATGATGAAAAAAGAAGGAAAAATTGTTCTGAATGCGATCCAAAAGGCAGGCGGAGAAGAAGGTGACATTTTTAACTTTAGGTTGTAACTTTAGGTTTGTCCACATTTTCATTATCAAATTCATCAGTTTTTCTCGTGAAATTACTGATCGGCAAATGGTTTTCGTTACCCAGAGAAATTCATCCGATAAACTGTTACTGTTGATGAAAAAGGTGCATCCACTTTTTATCTATGTCAAAATCATTCACTTCATTGTCACATGACGTTTTATGTAGCAATTCTCCTTTCAGATTACTTTATGCAACCGACCCGAAAAAGTACTAAAATAATTTCCTCACCTAGATCTTGGAGGTGCTCTTCTGGTCCTATTCCTGACAACATCAGGAGTTGTGGAGTGTTCAGAGCCCCAGCAGATAAGATAATCTCCTTCTCAGCAATCGCATAGTGAGTTTCACCTTTCCGAACATACTCAACACCGTAGGCTCGTTTGGTTCCTGAATCGATGAGTATCCTCACAACCCTTGAACCAGTTTGAATTTCCAGATTCTCACGTTTTCTAATTGGTCTAAGGAATGCTTTTTCACTGCTACATCTTCTACCGTTTCTGAGGTTGGCTTGAATGTATGAGACCTTGAAAATATCTAAAATTATTCGAAGAAGTGCGACTTCTGATACTTTATCAATGCTTCAATTGGTTCTTCCATCAGTTAGCTGTAAATCTGAAATAACTATCGAATATTTCCCTACGCGGTAATGAGGCGATCCATGATGCGATGTTATACACACCAGTCTAACTGTTAGAGTAATGTTCACTACTATAAGGTACTTGGTATCGTCCTAGAATATCCTTTTGCGGAGCCGAAATAGCGTCATCTTCTAAATAGACACTACATTTCCTATGTTAACTAACTCACTCAGTGCCTTGATTCCTTTTTTCATATTCTCTTCAATACCTACCCCAAGCTGCCTTGCCCCATTGTAGTCCGTATATGGATGCCCAGCTTCTTGTGCTGCTTCAACAAACGCATCGGCAGCTTTAGTCCTGACCGGGACATCGGTTATTGTCAAGTAACCTCCTTGTCGATGGTAATTTCTGTCGCTCCTCGCCAGACGAGCATCCTCTGACTTCAAAAAATAAGGAAAGACATCCGCAAAGGACCAGCCAGGGTTCCCTTCACCTGCCCATCTATCGTAGTCGAGTCTGTTGCCTCTACAGAAAATCATGTAGTTGATTATAGAGCTGCCACCTAGAGCATTGCCATGGGGCCATTCCAATCTACCATCAGTACAGCCTATTGAATAAGAGATTGATATCCAACAGTTGTTTGGTTATTATAGAGTTTGAAGAATTATAAAGACAAAGGTTTACCTCTACAAAATCCACTTTGAGGTTCAGATTTGTATCCCCAGTTATATTCGGTGAATTCTAGGGGACCGCACAGAAATGGTACATCTGTTATGATGCCTGGTTCCTCGCCTGATTCTAACAGCAGAACATTCCATTCTGCGATTTCAGTTAATCGATTGGCGAGCACAGATCCTGTGGGACCTGATCCAACTATAATGAAGTCGTAGGTAGGGTTGTCATCTACAAAAATCGTGTGAAATTCAGTTGGTTCTTAGTTAATCTATCCGAGGAGTTGGGTTTATCCTTATTGAGAGTAGAAAGAAAGCTAGAGAGTAATAAAATTGTAAAAAATCGTGGCAAAAGAAAGGGAGGAAAAAATTCTCAAAGTCATCCACGCATATTTCAATGACTTTGGTTACATGATCAGGGACATGGTCTTGAAAATACCATCTTCAGCATAATGAGAATACTAAAATACAAAAATGATTTTGATGTGAGGGAATTACCTGATTCAGTATTGACTTACTTGGAATTGAAAAATAAAATTACTAGCTAGTTAATTTGCCTGCCGATGCCCATAGTCAAAACTCATATTTTCAATTTTTTTGAACGGGTTCTTGAGGAATGAGAGCGCGCATACTATTATAACAGTTTATTATGTAACACGTGTTTTAAACGTCCTTTTAGTACCGAGTTTCTTGAGCACGAGCGCGCAGCTGAACGGCGCGAGTGTCCAATAAACGAATGTCTAGAAGAGTTTATAAACATGATACATACTATACTTTTTCTACGAACTCATGATTCCTCTCTTCAACAAGATCCCATAATTCCGAAAATCAGATTAACCTAATTGCTTACCTACAGAATAATTCGAAGGAAATGGGAATTGGGAACATAATACATAATAATATGTATCTGCATGCAACCAACGAGACACGTATAAGTTTTATTGGTTGTAGATGTCTCCAGTTCATAGAATACATGAATTTTTATGAAAATTGCTTATTTACTAACCTTTGTGAATAAGATATCATTTCACGTAGTAGATAAAAACTCATCGATTTGCTGAGGTATCAAAGTTTTTGATTTCTCATGTTTGTATCCATATTTTGATGTGCATTCAGGAATGCAGATAGCTTCGCATAATTTTTGCTCACATAGATAATATGTTTACGTTTATTTTCATGCTAAGCGAAGAATGAATCGCCCACAAAGATGAGAGTTTAATTTTTACACAGAGATCTTGGAAATATGCAAGGACCTACCAAAAACATTCTCTTCGATTTCGACTGAACTAACAAGGTTCAAGAAATTGTGTTGCCATGGTAACGTGTTCAATTTTTTGAATAAATCACAGATCTTCAATCCGCGATCAATCGAGCATTTAGCGTGGTACATATACGTACCCTAAATGCCATTTTAGTTATGTGAGTAGAAAAATCAAATTTTATATTCCAAAATGGTATATGAAGGGAAATGCTAAACAATTCCCGACAACAACATAACAAGAAATAGAGCATTGAAAGCTAATTTTGCTTCCTCAGTAGGAGTTATCTAGAACCAGAATTCCAAGTACATATAATTTTCATTGTATCATTCATTTTGAAATCGAATCTCCTCATTTGAAATCTTAAATCGTAAAGCAAATTGAATTTCGTTCGTAGGATTCACTTACCATATCAATTTCCCTTGAAGGATCTATTCTTTTATATCATACGTGAGTAAACTTACCAACATATTTCGGCTGTGGATATAATGGAATGATTTCAGGTACTTTCCTCAATGAGTTCAAGACAAAATCAATAATATGTCCTAGAATAACGTAATTTCCATTGGCAGCTGGAACCAGTAGGGTAATACATGCAAGTGAAATCATATAGATTTTCTGAAAATGAAATGTTTTCTGATTTAGAATGTTAGGAGTGTGAATGCCTTCGATGATATATATCCAGAATCATTCAAGAAGTCTATGAAAGCATTCGGAAAATTATAATAAAATATTTCCGAAATACCTCATCTACAAGCAAGCATACGGAAATCAATATAATGTTTCAAGGAAAATTTTCGAAATTCACATCAAATCTCACCATGATTGTTTGGCGTATCCACTTGCGAAACTACGACACTTTGGGTACTTGTGCTCTAATATAATTATGTTTTGCTATTATCTTATTGTGACAAGCTATAATATTATTCATTCTCCAATAGTGGAATAAACTACTCAACATAGCAACAAATCTAAATTATCTGAACATTCTAGCACCAACACTATTTCTACCCCATATCAACGATTTGTTGGAAACAACTTCATGTCCAGTACACAGCTTCGCGGATGAAAGTACCCTCCATACCGCCTGCTCTTCCAGGGCTCCAATACCAGCCAGGCAAATCAGAAACGAACGAGGGAGAAATGAAAACAACATAAATGTGAACTTAGCAACAATTCTCGAATGGGGATCCAATTACTTGGTAGATTTCGATGCAAACAAAACACAAGCATGCCTTCATCCTAGAAAAGTCGATCTCACTGTGCACATCATAAGCTCGTCAGGAGTAACCATACCTTCGGAGACATCCATTTCGATGCTTGGTATTACTATCAGCAATGACCTTTCTTAGGAAAATTACGTGAGATCAATTGCTAAAAGTGCATCTCGGTTTCGGGCCAGGAGCTAGTTCACTTTTAGTCAGCTGCTCATGATCTTCAAGGCACTTATCCGACCTGTCCTGGAAAACTGTTCCCATATTTGGAGTGCAGCACCCAAACATACCCTGAAACTGTTGGATTCTGTCGAAAAAAGGCAATTCGTCTCGTGGGTGATGCCTCGCTCACAAACTCACTCACTTTTCTGGAACACCGTAGAAAAGTTAGCGATTTGGCTCTATTTTATAGATATTCTCATGAACGAGGCTCTTTTGAAATATCAACAATTTTTCCTCCCTTGGCAGTCCCCGCGAGATTAACCCGTCGAGTTGAGGCTTCGCGCCCCTTCGTGGTCACTTTGGAGACTTGCAGAACATCTCTTTCCAAAGACACTTTCATCCAACGAACAGCGAGGCTCTGGAACACATTGCCAATGGGGGTGTTCCCCGAGGCATATAACCCGCAGAAATTTAAAAAGAACACCAATTCCTACCTTATTTCCCTTGGTTCTCACGATGTTCTCTAAACATTACAGGATATTCCTTTTCGCGGGAACCAGAACATAAAAAAAATACCCTTAATGATAATGGACATATGGCAAAAAAGACATTGAAATCATAGGAATAGAAGATAATCAAAGAAGAAGAATCGATGATTCCGCTTACATAATTCTCAACGTAGACATTGCTTCCTGTTCACCACAGACAGAACATGGTATTCATTACTTGAATAATAATAATAGAAAGAGAAACTAGAGCAGATTTGTTTCAAAAACGTCCAAAGTGAGGTGGAAATGTCACTTCATTCCCATATATTTTCGAACATGCCTCTCCTTTTTCATTTATGCTCTCTAATAGTGAATTCTTTGAACGCATTGACGTTTTTGTGGAGTAGTGTACAATGTTGTACAATACATATTATTTTTTGTATGAACACCATACCCAATCGAATTTGCTCAACAATTTTGTTGAGTATATTCTAATTTTTGTAAGTGATAAATCACGTCCATATCGATTTTATTCATTTGAGAAAGTATTAAATCACTGAAAAATGGAACTGACTTGGTAACCAGCACGATCACCAGATGCTATTTGATTTGGGTTTTCACGTATGAAGCAGATTGGCATTGCAACTAAATCGAATAAAGGGAGAGGTGTCGTACTCACCTAATGATATACATTTTTGTATCGCTTGCAGCGCACGAGAGGAAATCCTATATCCATATCGATGAAAGAGTGAAAGGTTGCCATCCTTTCTACGATGTTCCAATGATGTCAAAGAGTTAGTGAGTGTGGCATCACCCACCTGGCGAATGGCCCTTCTCTGTATGGAGTTTAGGAGCATCAGCGTATGTTTGATCAATCTATGGTTTGAGTGATGATGAATTACATAAATGTGAGAATAGTATTCGAGAATAGGCAGCATCTGTGCTTTGTAGATCTTGAGAACAACAGGTGTAAAGTAGCTTCTTGCACGGAACTACAATCCGAGATTTTGTGAAGCAGCTTTCGCGAGGCATGATTATCCTATAAAAGAGTATTGCTGATGGAAATTCCACCTTTCTAGAGAAAATACACAATTTGGTTTTGGTGATGGCGTTGAATTCGACTAGGTTGTTGGTACCCCAATGTGCATTCCAGGATGGATAGTGATTTGCCATAGGTTGATAGTCACAGCAGTCATCATATCAAACATTCACTCAGGTGAAGCAAGTTTTGGGAAATTTCACGTAATTGAGCAGACCATGTTGGTTCTAGATCTTTGATATGTTTGTTCACGGCATATACAAATACAATTTGTAATAAAGAAAAAGAAAATAAAGCACCTATAGAGTCAGTTTTCCACAAATACTATAACTTATCAGTTCTAGTGTATCTTTATTTGAAATCCTATATTAAACATACTTATCACAGTTCCTCATGAAACAATATCAAGAAGTACGGGTTTCTGAGAGATATTCTGGCTACGGTTTTATCTATGATCGAACATGTAGTAATTGTCCACTTTGACTTCTGAATGCTGTGTTCCTCAACATGCGTTAATGAAAACTGAACCTATCATAATATTCCATCAATTTTGATAGGTACTGTTCATAGTTTTTCTGCATAATCAATACAATATTTGAATAATTCCTCTCCACGAATACAGTATCTTGGACTTGCAAAATAAGGGTACTTTTCTCAATGAATTGAATTAACCGTCTGTGATCTACGATAAGTTAAATACAGGGCGTTACAACTCAATTACAAAAATATCGTTCCATTCCGCATATTATATAAAATACTGAAGTGATAATTATCGAATTTGGCACTGTACCTTTCTATGCAATCTCGCTTCTTGAGTACAGGTCATAAATGCGATTACAAGAATTGGAACGAGTAGTACTTGAGTCACTGATGGCTATGTGGTATGGAGTAATTTCGTGAAATTTTGACAAACAACTAATTAATGAACCTTATGAAACTGTATCCCACTCTTTTTCTTCTGTGGATTGTAATTGAAAGTAAATTTAAAACGCACCATCTTCAAAATTCCAAAATGATCTCTCTTCTGCAGTATTCAACAAGAGATTGTTCCGTGGTATCCTTCTGATTTCTCTGAATATGATATGTACATAACCTCTATATCGACAAATATAAATTATTGTTACTATTTCTGACTTTGAATCATTCTGAAACACACAGATTGTGAGTTATCGTACATTTTTGGAAGTAGATGTTCATTGAGAAAAGTCCTCTTGTTTTGTACTTCTTCGAACGAATCTACAAGAATATGCACGACCCATCAGATGAAAAGTGTTTTGTTTCCATAAGAAAATCAATTCTTTACGACAATCTATCTTATATACGTTTCCAGTCTTCTTTGATGATATCGGCAGCTTTTTCTCCAATCATATAAGCTGGACCGACTGTATGAGCTGTGACAGGCTGTGGTATGATACTAGTGTCTGCTACTCGTAGTCCTTTCATTCCATATACCCGGAGTCTTGGGTCCACCACAGCTTCCGGATCTGATTTTGGTCCCATCTTACAAGTAGCTACCTGATGGTAGAGGCTGCCTATCAGAGTCCTCAGAGAGCATTCCCAGTATTCGTCAGAATCGAATATCTCATTTTCACATCCTAGAATATGTTGGTTATCATATATTCTTCAATCAGAAAACATATCTACTATATTGACATGAAACTTTCAGTAGCGAAAGACTTTCAAGATAAATTTCTATCCGTAAATGTACACTCGGAATAAGAACTATTTCAGGGTTCATCAGTAAACAGATTGAATGTGAGTACTTCTTTACAAATCCCCATCATATAGATTAGTGAATCTTTTAATACATTAATAGGACTTGAAAGTGGCATACAGAACAAATAACACGTTGGGAAGGTTTATCAAGAATAATAAGGACAAAACTTCTGAATTCGAAAAATCTGGGTTATACAAACTCAACTGTGGGTATATATCGGTCAGACAGGTCGTACGTTTAATCAGCGTATTCATGAACACAAGATGATTTTTTTAGAAAGAAAACAAATCCAACATACGCCAACCATATATTAAAAGAAAACAATAGTCAACAAACTCAAAAATTCATCATTCAACATTTTACTCAACGATCAATCAGACCCCAATAGTTCACCACTGTTGAATTTGTTATCTTAGTAGGTAATAATACGAATTTGCTATCAACCCTTTCAAGTTGATCCGGTACACCGTACTCGAAAATGGAGGTTTATCGAACCTGTCCACAGGTAACCCAGCGAGCACAAAAACATCTCAGAGATGTTGAAAGTACGAGATTTCGAGACATTGGACCTACACTGCGATGTTCTGTTCACACATGAATAGAACAATTATAGAACAGCCAATGTCCGCCGCAGGCGGCAATTATCGAGATGTCCTTGATATGTCACAAAACTACCTCCTCCCTAGTTCTATTTGAAGCCTTTTCATGGACACAACAGAACATTTTCAACGCGTCTTGCGCACATTAAATCGCTGTAAAAAACCATTTTCGAGGTACTTTTCTGAAGCCTTTTGTCAAGATGAACTTTTGCATTAGGATTCCATTTCCCTTGAATGAAAACATGCATTGAAAATAGATTGAACATACAAATATTTTCTTGATATGAAATTACCTTCTTAATCGGTTTCTGAGTAGTGCTTACTACACACAGACATATAATTGGAAATAGGTTTCCCAATTTTTGAAATGTTCTCCACAATGCATAATTTTGCAACTGCGGAGAAGCTGTGTATTGATGAATTCATACTTTTATATATTGATTACACTGAGGCACCGAACAACACATCTTGCATCTGATGGTCATTATTACAAACTAAATAAGTCTTCTAACACAATAAACTTCACCAAATTCCGTTTTGTTCGTTAGCAGCGTGATATAAGCGTGACACGCTGCAAACGCGAATGCCAATTGCGAACAAGAAGAACAAAATCGAAAACAAATCGGAATTAATCGTATTGTGACGTAAGCATGAGACGTTGTGGTGGGGCAAACAAAGAAAGGGCACAAAACAACAAAAACAATACTTTCAATATCCTTCTAAGACCTCTTTGGGAAGTGCATATTACGCCTCAAAATAACATCCTCATGCCTACATTTCTAAAACATCCCAAAACATCCCAGGGATACCTCTCAGTAGGCAAGCAAAGAAATGCCACAGAAAAACAAAAACAATACTTCAATATCCTTCAAAGACCTCTTTGGTCAGTGCATATTACGTCTCAAAATAACATCTTCATCCCAACATTTTCAAAACATTCCAAAACATCCCAGGGATGTTTGTGCTCGCTGGGAAGTAATCCTTCAGGTTGGGAATGTAAGATATAAGCAAGCCAATGTTAGTTTAGTTCATCGTACCAGTATATCACCTGACGAAGCTACTGATGTGTTGGCGAAACATTTCGTGTCTTTGAGAATTTTGTGGAAATCTTATCGTTTGTGAAGTTTCTACATTTTTATATGGAGTTTTTTTTTCAAACAGATCACCTTATGTGGTGGTGGAGGACGATCTATCTTCTCATACCACAGCCATCTATTCTGGCGTCTCACAAAGCTTTGTAGATGACAGTACCTACTCACCATACTGTGCTTTTTTCCAGTATCCCTATTTCATCTAAGAAAATTAGAAGTTCGCAACACAAGAAGATTGCTCTTGATGAAGTCAATAAAGTCCATAATTAAGGGACTAGACAGTTGATTTACTTGAAAGCAAATACATGCAAGTCTTACATTAGTGGACAATCTGTTTTTCATAATGGAACAATATCATACAATGCATTACCGAATGAGTTGAAAAATACACATGATTCAAGGAAATTCAAAATCAATCTGAAAACTTCCTGGTCAAGCCAATTTGATTAAAAAATATGTGGCATGATTTATACCTTTCATCTCAAGAAAACATATGATTTTTTTTCCACTGAGTGAAATTCATCAGTTATGACCTTTTATATATATAATAGGTATTTATGAATTCCTATTATGAACAGATATGTTAAATCAATAAATCAACATGATGATAGGAATCTGATTTCAAGCGCTCCGAATGAATAAAGAAAGTCTGTGGTAGCCATATTGAATATATCATTGCAATATGATTTTTCAGTAATCTTCATAACATAATGAGCATGTCCGTTTGTGTTTGCTCTACCAGCTGAACTTGATTTCTTTCTATGACTATCTCATTTCACATTATGTCATGAACAGAGACAGAAATATGGGACAAAAACTCAACTCTAGCAAGCCTAGCAATACAAACGAATAGACCTAATGTGAATGGATGTGGAATTAAATGGTACCAACCTGGTAAAGGAATGTCGACTAGAGTACTTCCATATTTCTGCATCGCTGGACTCTCATTGATTTTTAGAATTTCTCTTATTCCTGCTATGAATGTTTTTACATCTAAGTTCTCTGGATCTGAGAGATAGTTCGCAAAGAATTTTGGAGCCTCGAACGGATTTTTCGATTTCAGTTCAATGTAACCTCTTGATTTCGGATGAACTAACATTGGGAATACCTGAAAATATATTTGATAAGTTTGAGTAAAGTTGAATACGATAAATCTACTTCAAACTACTTCTTCGCTTCTGACGAACTTTTTACCTAACGAAAATTATTATTTTTCATGAAATGTCGATGATTCGCGTTTCTTCTAGAAGAAACTTTAGACGATAATGTTTATGGATATTTGAATAATAGCGGGAGACATGTCTATTGTCATTTTGAAACTCCTCAAATATGCTCATCTACTAGCACTCCTTTGAAGTTTGTCATACAAAGGCTATATTCTGAATTCAACTGGTCAGTACTGTCAATAAATCCACTGACTTCGCTGAGAATCTGTGATCCGAAATATAACATCAAAAATACCATGTTTCCATGTTTTTCATCAGTAATCAGCAACAGTTGATCAGCTGATGAACTTTTTCATAGTGGTGCCCACGAGAGTCGTTTTCGAGAGTCTCGCATGGTCTCGTCTCGTTATTGAGACAAGACTCGAGACGAGTCTCGTCTCGAGTCTCATGCAAAACTTCTCGTGTCTCGTGCGAGAGTCTCGCAGGTAAATATTTCTGCGTGCCGACTGCAGACTTGAGAATTTCATTCATAATACAACATATTTAGAAATAGTTCAGACTATTCAGCACAGATAGATAAAACCGAGATGAAACATTTCATTCAATAAATACTCAAAAAACACAATCCATGATTGTTGTAAAAGGACGTAATGTGTGATACGAAAATGGACTATTCTCTCTTTTACGGCGGCGGAATATAATGGCAATTCTGCAAAAACGACAGATCGCAAATCTATAAATACGTCATTCTGTGCTAAATAGTCTAAGATAAAGAATAACTTTACCTAAGTCTTAACGACTGGGTGAAATACAAAAACATCGTGAAGGCTGATCTGACTGATAAAGATATTTTTCTTAGATACCTATTTCTTGAATAAGTAAAATAATGTTGGATTAAAGTTTTTGTTTTGTTTATTTGTTCAGAATATACGTGTTACTTTTCATATTATTCTTATGATTTTCGAAATTTATATTGCTGTTTTTTTCTCTTGTATGATGTAAGTATGTACCTATTAGGTACTTACTTTTCAATAAATAATATTATTTTTGTTTTAATTTTCTCTTCCTACTTCTATATTATACCTAAAAAGTAGGTGAAGGTGAATATCCCGTACTAGACCATACTAGACTGGAACAAGATTATACATGACGAAATTGCGATACATTTACGAGACTTCATATTTCATCGGCGAGACGAGACGAGACTTTATGAAAGTCTCGTCTCATTGATCTCGTGTGAATAAATACTTTTTCAGTTGTCAGGTTGTCACTTATGTATAGTTTCTCGTTCATCTGAACTAGATATTATTCTCAGCGTCAATTATTTCAATTATAGGCATTTTCTGATATAAAAATGTTATTATTAATTTATCATTGATAAAACAACGAAAATAAATGTCATTCGTTTCCCCTCTAAAATAATAACAATTAACTGAAGCCACACTACCTTTTGATAATCATCAATTTCAGCAGAATGTTGACTCGAAATATTTGGAATGGATTGTCTGCTCACAAGGTAGTTTATATTTCTGATTACTGATATTAGTATAATCATTGAAATCATTGAGTATTTGTATATAATCAATGGTATAATTCAGAGATCGAAGGCGGAACATGATCACATCAATGAGATTCAATCTAAATTGGTCAGGTTAGATTATTGAGACAAGTTACAGAAACAATGACCTTATAAAAACATTCTTTGAATTTTTGCAATCATTTACCGAACAAGACATATTCGAAAACATTATCGCGGGAAGCCTATACAAATTTCAGAACTGACGTTGACAAGCGTGTCCACACTCTTAAAAAAGCGCGTAATAAGAAGTTTGAGGCACTATAAACTGGAAATGCTCTTGATTGAAATTGAATTGACTGTATTAACTTTATAAATTCCATAGTTATGAGATGGATAGGATATATGAATGGTACCTACTGAAGCTGTTGCTACATTTTATCTCTCTAAAGTGATAATTCATATTATTTAACTTCAATCCAATGTGTTTCAGCAATTTTTTCGTATGTCATCAACCCCAGAGGTCATTAGCCTTGACATATTATTCATTATCAAAATTATTCGTTCGGGTTTTCGAAAATGAATGAATGAATAAATAACGACTCATTCAATTAAAGATATAAACTTAAGACTGTAGATAAACACAGAGATAACTGACTTGTTCTGAACCCACCTGGTAAACTGGTTTGCCTTCTAATGGTTTCCATACTTTATCGTACATATCTGGAGGAATATTGAAGATTTTTCTGTATATTATACCGAAATCTGTATTCATCGATCCTCCTACCATGAACAGTTCCATGTCAGGGAACGATGGATCAGGATCAGTAGAAATGTTGGTCCTTATGTAAGTTATCGCTTCTACTCCTCCTACAATCGTGAAATTGATATCATTGGTAGATGTAACATCACTTTCGTAACTGTATCTTCAACTTCCATTTGCAAACAAATCTAGAATCATCAACATTTTTTTTACATTATGTCATTCCAATTCTGGAGTAGTACTATTTGGATATTTGGTGAGGATAATATTTAGAAAAGCTTCACGACTTTGAAAGTGAAGTGCTTTCTGATTTATTTCCAGAACCATTGTTGGTGGGATAGTTTCTCTCCATTTGATGGTGAATTCATGCAGGACTCACCATAGTCTCAACCTAAGAATGACAGGAGTTAACTGCCTGATTGCTAAACTCAGAATTGATATCTGGAATCAACCAATCACCACTCCTCATTCTCAGGTTGAGGCAAGTTAAGTTGTGCTTGAATTCAGCATTAGTGATGAGGATCCAATAATTAATATTATGAATTGGGGTCAGTACCAATATATTTCCTGTCTAAACCAATGGTGAATTGAAAAATAAGTGGATATATCCAGTATCCACGGATATTTCACGCGATTTTTTTATTGTTTTATACACTTCAAGATCATGAGGAAACAACAACTGATAATGTGAACTGATTGAACATCAATGAATTCAATGTTAACAGCTGGAAGGGATCCTGATAATATGTGAACGAGGAGTGAGGCAAAAATATTGTTCAGGCAAACCGCAGTGGTTACGGATACCTTTCTATCTTATGTTGGCTAATGGAAGCGCTCGCATTATTTGAAATATTTTCTCGTTTTTGCTTTCATTTAGGAGTGAACGCGATTAAATATGAATATTCATTTAGGAAAAAGGATAATGTTGCAATCAATTATCATTCAAGAATTATTATTGATTTTTTTATTGACCTAAAAGTGAAATTTTATTTTTATTCTTACAGGATTAGGAAATCAATCGAATACACAATTGAAAATATATATTCTCATTCAAATGTCACAATAATTTGTACAGGGTGAGCGAAGCTCAATGTCTCAGCACTTTCAGAAGAGAAAGAAAAACGATAGAAAAAAATTTGAAAGAGGTATTGAGTACGTACGGTCTATTCCAAGCCTAATTTTCAACATTACATATTTATCTCTAAACATTTTATAATCAGAAGGTGAATGAAAGTACAATGTTTGAACAAACTGTTTCATCAAAGATGATCATCTGCATCACCCAGAATGTACACCTTCATTTTTTCTTTTCTAGAGAAGGAGAAGCTCCAAAGGTAAACCTGAAAAGACAATATGATCTTGAGTTTAATTGAAACTTGTATTTTCAACCTTCAAAATGTTTTTTAGTACCTCATCAAGATTGTCGTTCTCCTTCCCGAATGAAAAAGTTTGTGGGTTTCATTATCATCAGACTTTGACACTTGGGAGCTTGAAGTTGTAGGCAAATCAATGTCCATAGAAAAAACATCGTGTCCTGCTTAAAATTGTGCCTTACAATCCAAGTTATGAACATCCACACACACATCCCCAGACACATCCTGAAAAGAAATTACTACAGTTTTTCTAAGAATCTGAATAATTTTCAACTTACCCATGAAGGACAATTTTTATTTGTCTTGCTTGTTTTGAATCCAAAGGCAACACAGTATGAATAATCACTTTTCATTAATTCGAAATCACAAACCTTTTCGACAACAATCAATTCACACCAACAAATTCAGTCTTTATCTGAAAAAACAAAACACGCCAAATTTTGCGATATTTCACATATCAAAAAACAATGAAGTTCTGTCTTCACTTTCTTGTCTGTTTAGTAAAAATAAAAGAGATCTCAGTACTCCAATTATTGAATAAAAGAAAATTTATACACCGACCCACCATCAAACAACACGAGTGTGAAAGAGACAGGTTACCGTAACACAAGCTATCTTTGTTGCAGCTACCCCTGACACACTCTGTGCTATTCGAGAAAACGGCAGTCTCCCTTCCAGTTGTTTACATTGATTTCATTGTTGAACATTTGTCAGTAATATTTTATTTTTTCTGTGACGGGAAAAAAGTTTGGCATTTCATCTCTGTTGGCAGGTTATAAAATGTCACTTTTCATAAATTACTTTTTTCCCGTGGGAAAAAAGTGAGTACTTCTTTCCCGGATATATATCACATATATATATACTCTGTTAATGGCTTTTGTTGTGCTATAGTTCCGAAAAATGAGTCAATAATACCGTCTCCGAGAAAGAACTGCAAGTCCTTTTATCTTCCATTCGACTTCGCGGTTTCGTATATTACTAAACAACTACTTAATTCGCAATTTTTCGAAATCAAATCACAAAATTTAACTGACAAAAGTGACATCAGATATTTGATTACTTCAAAAGAATGATAAAGATGTCTATAAAACGCAGGTGTCCCTACTGTTAAAAACTTGAAATTTCACGTCGCTAATTTTCAGATTTCGAAATAATGTAATATCTTCTCAATATTGATTCGTCCTTCCTTCTGTCACAGAAAAAAATAGTGTATTATACACGGGAAAAATATTAGATTTTAGCTCACGGTTTTTTGTCTCCCTCCGCTACGCGTCGGGAGACAACACAACCTGGAGCTAAAATCTACTACTTTTTTCCTTTGTATAATAAATAACTATTGCCGTAGCATGCCTGTCAGATCGATGATAAAAACGTTGACCATTCAGACTTCACGTTGTGATTTGTTGCCGAGATGATTTCATTAAAATTCAATACTGATTGATCTTACGAACCTATAGTTGTAAAGGCTCCTCTTCCTCGTTTAAATTCTAAATGATTTGCAGGATCGAGAAGAATTCTGACCTCGTCGAGTGCTATACTTTCATTCAATCGAAATACAATTCCCGGATAAGTGGGGTGATCATACATTGTCACACCAACCGGAAGATTCTGAACAATTGGTATTCCTGAAAAAAAGTACATCATTCTTTTACCCATGCTGGTAGGAAGCACATACACAAGTACATCAATGTGGGTATATGTCTAACTAGAATTGATTGTATCATGTTTTGAAGCTACTTTGCTTCCTCTCACCTAAATATTGAAGGTGCTCTTCGGGTCCTATTCCTGACAACATCAGGAGTTGAGGAGTATTCAAAGACCCAGCAGATAGGATAACTTCCTTATCTGCGAACGCGAAATGGGTTCTACCACGTCGAACATATTCAACACCGTAGGCTCGTTTCGTGTGTGCATCGATAAGTATTCTTACCACTCTAGAGCCCGTCCTTATCTTTAGATTCCTACGTTTCCTCACCGGTCTGAGAAATGCTTTCTCAGAGCTGCATCTTCTACCGTTTCTCAAGGTTGCCTGAACGTATGACACCTAAAGAAAATAGTAGATTGTTTTATTAGGATGAAAAGTGACACTTTGTTTGACAAGCGAATCATGCAGTTGCGAGGCGGAGCGTCTAGCGAAGCCGAGCGAAAGCAAAATTTGCGAGTCAAACAAAGTCTTTTTTGATCCGAATGAAACATGCTTGTTTTTTTTTGCAACCGAAAGAATTAACACCAATGCCGTGCAATGCAATGCAATGCAACAAATAATATGTGCGGTGAGAATATTCTACCTGCATTGAGAGTTCAGGTTCATTCAATTTTCAAGGATGTTCGTATTGCAATTTCGATATAAACACAAATGAACATATATTTTGTTGATTTCGCAAAATTGTGTTTAACTTAACAAGAAAAGATGACTCAAATTATTTTGTTGGTGCAACAAAACTTTTTTTTTCTGTGTAGTACATCCTTTTTAGTTGAACTTTAGCTCCTATAGGAACTCCTAGGAACTGAATGCGATGCCTAGCAACATACAACCTATGTTTGTGTCAGTAATAAAAACGTCAAATCAAGAGCTAATTTTGGTATAAAAATGGACGACTTTTGTGTCTAATGGAAACACTCCTGTATCTTTCGTAATTGTTTAGTCAGTATTCTGAAATTTGCAGGAGCAGGAGATATAATGAGAATACACACTATAACCAAGTGGTGTTATCTTCAGTTATATACACTGCTCACCAACAGCCGTGGAACCACCCACATTTCCGTAAAATGATATTAGGAGGCAAGATAGGTTAAAAATCTCTTCGAATTCGAAATCAGGACGTTCACTTCACTAACTATTCCTGTTTTTCCCTAAAAAATGTTCAGTTCTGAAAAATCTAATTTTGTCTCAGTTTTCGTGGAAGCACCCCCGTATATTACGTAATTATTGAGTTAAGGATCTGAAATTTGCAGGAGGAAAGGAGGGGCTCAAGATCACGTCAATCACGTAAGGGGTACCTCCATAAAAAGTGAGGAAAAATTGAATTTTTCAAAATTGAAAAATGTTCAGGAGAAATTCAATAAACCAGTGAACTGGACGTCCGGATTAGGAATCCGAATTGATTTTCAACCTACCTTGCCTCCTAATATCATTCTCCGGGAATGTGGGTGGTTCCATGGCTGGCGAGCAGTGTATCTCACTGAAGATGACTCCACTGGGTTATAGTTTGAATTTTCAGTATTCGCGAGATTCATGAAGTGGGCGACATCTAGGTTACATAATACGAACTTCAAACTGGGGGAAAACTGTTGTCTATGGATAAAGTGCATAGACTACATTGCATTCAGCTTGCTGTAGCTGTAGTCAAACTTGTCAATAACATAAAGTGTTGGCACTGTTGGTAGTAATGATATTTTTATTAGTTTAGTGAACAGTGAAAGGGTGAAGAATTGGAGATAGTTCAAACAATTCAAACTAATTATGACGAGCAAATCAATTGACATATGAAAGAACAACTACAACATGTTTAAAATACCCAGATTGTCCTGCTTTGCATGAACAAATACAAATCCATTGTTCTACAGGAGTTTCTCTGGACCCCAACTTCAATTTAACTTCATGTGAGGAAGATTTCATCGCCGAAGTTTGTAGACAATGTGCAAAATTGTGCCTTTTGTTGAAGTCTTCTGCCTCACACAAAATCAGATGATTAGCACGGAGAACAGCTTCTCCTTCCACTACTGGTCGGATTTTTCCATCTAAATAGAAAAAAAAAATCTGCCGAAACAACATCTACAACAGGCATTATTAGCGTTTTCGATCGAATATTGACAATTAATGTCAAGAAATTCGAAAACTTATCACTCTTATCAGTACACAGTACACAAGCTAATGGTACTAATGGGATTGAGTGAGGATTGAGTTTGTTTTTCCCCAGGTTTGACGTGGCTTTGACATGGGACGATGAAAACCGAGCGCCACCTGGTGAAATTGATTCCTGCGGATACCTCTCGCTCCTGCAAACTTCAGAATCCTAACTCAACAATGGGCGTGTACACCTTAGTAGAACTTTCAACTCAAACCATGTTTATAATGATCCTTTTATACATAAATAACGATTGACGACATAATTCCATCTAAAAATTAACTGGAATGTTTTATTTTTGGACATAAATAATAGTACCTTCTGAAAACGGACCCTCTTTATGACGTAGAAACCTCATCCCGCCTGGAACCAATGAGCGTGACCCATGTGTGACACTTACCACTGTTGCCATATCATCTAAACAAAATATCCGAGAGATCGAAATCGATATTGAAATATCTTTTGATATCAACTACCACTACTGCAGAAAAATATATTCAACTTGTCGATGGTAGGTTGAATCATTAGAATATAAACAATCCCTGAACAACGAAATGTCTCAATCTCAAAACCATTTGCACCACGACAATTTCACAATAATCCAATATATTTCATGAACGCAGCAACATTGCTTTGTTGACCCGTTTCACATGGAGCTGCTTTTGCATCGAGTCTCGAATTCCGATTCCGAAGTTATTTATGTCGTCTAAAATGAGAAGAGAAGACACGTAATGAAATGAACCTCCAAATCTTGCTTTATATCATATTAATACATATTATTGATATATTGAATATAAACATGAACGTTGAATCAGGATTTGTAAAAGGCTCATCAAATAATCTACCGAAAATTGATTTGGAAATGGTTAATTATTTTTATGTCTCTAACATACTAGAAAATCTCCACAGTTCCTCAGTGCTGAAATGAGGAATAGAAAATCTGAAAGGTAAGTTCCACAATATTCATTCAATTTTCATTGCTTGTACCAATTATAGTTGCATTGGAAAATTGTTCACCTGAAAGGATATTTAACATCGGAATACCCATCATATGGAGATTCCGAAGGAGAATCCTCATTAAATCAGTCACTGATCGATATGTTTACCTATGCAACAATATGATCAATTTGTATGAAACAATGTTATTCCCAAGACTAGATACTGCTTGCATCTCCCCCTGAATGTTCTTCTAGGAGATGGATCATTCATTCTTCAAGCACTTTCCCTATGAATTTCTGCAAAGCAAAACTACTACTATAATATTGTGTTTACCCAGTGAGGGGCGAGATTTGTTCTCAAAATTACCAGCTAAATGATGTTTTTTTGATTGCAATTAGGCACAGAACATTTCTCAATCATACTTTTGTCGAAATATTTCAATTTAATATTCGAAAGTTGCAGAAACTTAATATAGGTTAGAATTGATCTTCTTCTTGTTCTTATCATCTATGTCCCAAAAATCAACTTGCCGATTCACCAATCTTGGTGCTTTGTGAGAAATCATGTATGATTCATCTCTGTCTGGAATAGTCTTGTTTCAGAATTAGGGTTTGACGTCACATCATCGCCTCGTTTTCAGAGGTCCGAAAAATCGGAGATTTCTATAATTTTTTATAAAACGTAGGGAGCTCACAGCAAGAAACGGTTTGCGGTGGTGAGCTAGTTTGGGTGAGTTCTATCGAATTATGGAATAAAATTGTTTCGTGATATAAGCCCATTATTATCAAAGATACAGGGGAGCTACTATTAGAAGTGCGACACACTGTATATTGGCGTTGCCTAGTATATTTTGCCAAATCTATCCAGGTAGGTACTTACTCCAAGTTGTTCTGCTCCATTATAGTCGGTATAAGGATGACCAGCTTGTTGTGCTGCTTTTACATAAGCATGCGCAGCTTCAGTCCGATAGGGAACATCGGTGATTGTCAAATAACCGCCTTGTTGATGGTAATTCCTATCGCTCCTTGCGATATGGGCATCCTCCGATTTCAGGAAATAAGGATAAACATCGTCATAAGACCAGCCTGGGTTTCCTTTAGCTGCCCATCTGTCATAGTCAAGCCTGTTACCTCTGACGAAAATCATGTAGTTGATTATAGAGGTTCCGCCAAGTGCATTGCCATGGGGCCATTCCATTCTTCCTTCATTGCAACCTACGGGAATTAATGAAATTACACATCAATATACAGTGCGTCCATAAAGTAACGCATAAATTCATTATTGGCTAAATGAACAATAGAATTAGAAATTCCCGAAACAGGTCGATTTTTTATTTCAATTTACTATTGTTTCAAATCATTATCTAATATACAGGGTGAACCACTTTCGTGTAATGACGTCATCACCATTTTTTTCAAATGGAACCCCCCCTTTTTTTTCAATTTCCAAATTGCCTTTGCTGAGCTGATTCCAAAAATGTATAATATGTTGCTTCAAATTGGTACAGGGTGGGCAAAAATGCAACAATTTACTCACAAAGTAATAAAAATAATGAATAAACGTAATAAACACATTAAATGAAATTACGTATTGTTATACAACTACTTTGATAAACTATCAAGAACATCCAGCATTATTCTTAATAATTGTATCTTACAGCTTTTATAAGGATGGACTATAAAAATCTTTTTGTTTGGCATTATCTTTTACCATTTTTTTAATTTGACAAAACTGTCAAAAACATACAAGAAATACAGAGCATAACACCCGCTATGCTGCAGAATGTTAGAGACGAAAGTAATGCCCGGTTCAGTCATTGTCTAACGGTCAATGGAGAACAATTTGAACATTTATTGTGAATTTTCGTTTGTTTGTTTGTTTTTGAAAGTGTATCACATTAATTGCATAACTACATAATTCCATTTAATTTGTTTATTACATTCAGTAACGTATTACTTTCCATAAACAATTTTCATATTTTTTTTTGCATTTTTGCCCACCCTGTACCAATTTGAAGCAACATATTATGCATTTTTGGAATCAGCTCAGCAAGGGCAATTCTGAAATTGAAAAAAAAGGGGGGTTCCATTTGAAAAAAATGGTGATGACGTCATTACACGAAAGTGGTTCACCCTGTATATTAGATTATGATTTGAAACAATAGTAAATTAAAATCAAAAATCGGCTTGTTTCGGGAATTTCTAATTTTATTGTTCATTTAGCCAATAATGAATTTATGCGTTACTTTATGGACGCACTGTATAAATACTATTCATCCAAACATTAAATTCACAATAGAAATAGAGACTGAAAATTCAATCAATTTCTTAGATTTGACAATAAGTAAAATTAACGATAAACATGATTTTTCAATTTTCCATAAACCTTCCCACACTGATATCACTATTCATAATAATTCAACACACCCTTATCAACATAAAATTGCAGCATATAATAGTATGATACACAGGCTAGTGAATGTCCCTCTTTCGGAAGTTATTTCAATAAAGAACTCAATATCATAAAACAGATTGCTGTCAACAACGGATACAACGTTAATTTGATAGACAGTATTCTTTTTAAAAAACTTCATCATAAAGCTATTCAAGAAATTTATCCTATCATCAAGAATAATAATCAAAATTATAGAACTTTAACCTATTTCGGATCATCAACTGAGAAATTAGCTTCATTTCTACATAAACAGGACTTAAAAGTGGCATATAGAACAAATAACACGTTGGGACGGTTTATCAAGAATAATAAAGACAAAACTTCTAAATTCGAAAAATCAGGGATATACAAACTCAAATGTGGATCTTGTCCTGAGGTATACATCGGTCAGACAGGTCGTACGTTTAATCAGCGCATTCATGAACATAAGATGCATTTTATGAAAAAGAAAACAAATTTAACATACGCCAACCATATATTAGAAGAAAACCATAGTTTTCATGATAATTTCGAAATTCCGCACGTAGAAAATAACGGACTGAAACTCAATCATTTTGAATCATTAGAAATCAACAAACTCAAAAATTTTTACTTAATGATCAATTAGACTTTAATAGTTCACCACTGTTGAATTTGTTTTCTTAGTAAGTAATAATATATATTTGATATCAACTCTTTCAAGTTAATCCGGTATACCGTAATTTAATGTAGATATTGTGCCTAATTTCCGAAAATGGAGGTTTATCGTACCTGTCCACAGGTAACTAATCCTTCAGGTTGGGAAGGTAAGATATATAAAAGCTAAGCAAGCCAACGTTAGTTTAGTTCATTGTACCAGTATATCACCTGACGAAGCTACTGTGTTAGCGAAACATGGCGTGTGTTTAATAAATTTTGTGGAAATCTTATATCGTTTGTGAAGTTTTTACACAGATTGTTTATGTTCGTGGAAAGGCGAGGAAGAGAATGAAAGGAAGGTAGGAAGCTAACAATAGCTATTTATATATCAAGGAAGCAAAGGTTCCCACATAATCTCACCGATGACGAGCCAGAGACAACGTGTGCTTATCGCGAAAGCTGTTTTTCAATCCTGATATCTAATTTTTAATCAGCAATAGTAAAGATAGTAATGCATGATAGTAATACATGTAATAAAAACAGTTAGAAAAATGAGTCTATTCTAAGAGATCTGTAGAAACAAGGCAAAAAGAGTGTCCATTTGGATGATTTGACCTAAGCCTGACCAAAACTAGTAAGTACCTTAATTATATTGTATAAATTCTTTCCAATAACTGATACAATTTGGGTATTTTTTTTTAGATAGATAAGAGTATATACGCTATTCTACTGATTATCAAATCTGATGAAATTTTTGAAACACGACTATCGTTGAATTCGTGCCAGATGTTCGAGTAAGGATGTTTGCAATAGGCTGTATAGTGACCACTGTTGATGCTACCCATATGCTACCGCTGTGGTTCGAAATAGCATAGAGATCGTACTGGAATGGTACACTTCCATCAGCAGCGTAATGACTCATATCGAGTCTGTCTAAAGGTACATCAACAAAGACGTTCAGTTTTTCTACGAACCGATCCAGCGAGAAACGTTTCAGATGGATGACAAGAATTTCAGGGAACCTCTGAATAGATAATGACTTTGTATACATTTTTGCCTTTCCTTGCATTTGGAGCAAGTAGGCTTGTCCTCGCTATCCAATGACTCCTCTCTGGTGAATGATTTCAAGTACTGAAACAAACTGCTTTTGCGCTTTTGCTGTGGTATTGACCATGACAAATCCCAAAAGGGCTCAAACGTCACTGACAGTGTTCACGTTTCCAACGATGTAACCATGAATAGTAAATCAAGGTCTGGATGTTACAATGGATAGTGGAGCAAAGTCCGTCAGTTTGGCATTCTTCATGTGATGAAAATATTAATTCTTTCCCGGTTTATTGAACAGAAAACAACTACTTTCCTGGCTATATGTCACGACGAATATTGAATGACATTTATTGAACACACACGATAAGAATTTGAAAACAAAATCTTCTGCAATAGAGAACTTGCATTCTCCTTCATATAAAGATGTGCGTATAATATCATTCTGAATATATGAAAAATCAAAATCCTCTGAAATTACATTATTTCCCGAATCGAATCTAATAATATGATGTATTATGATATAAAAATATAACTTAGCAATATGTTCAGAAATGAAATGAAAATTGAAATGTATAGGAGACGTATACTTGTATGAACTCTGATCTTGATGAGCTTGGAACTTCAAAAAAAAATCATTCGTATCAGTGACATGGGAATAATATCTCTCACAAACAGGTTATTTAACTAAACTCGAGTAGAACTCCTTTCGAATATCATATCCTCATCAGTAACCTGAAGTCCAGTTATTCTTTGAGCCTTTCTTCATGATATACACAATTTTCATCTCCCTTTAATATAACTAAAACTATAACGAACTGACATCTGAGAATCATTATGGTTTGTTGACATACTCCTGTCATTTGGGCATTTGGTTTTGCATGTATGATAAATTGACATTCATCATGCAGGACGTGGAAAGAAATTCTGGATTGAGGAAACCTAATCACGAATCTGCGATGGAAACTTTTTATTCTTATAGACCTCAATGTAGTTTCAATATGAATACAACCACAGAGTGACCCATTTTTATTGAATCGATGAATTCGTGAATTCATTTGGACCAGAGGTGTCTGCCCTATTGGCAAATACCGCGCCAGTGCCAGGTATAGAGAAAAGAAGTGGAAAATGTTAGGTTAGTGAGCATATCAAAAATAATAATAGCGATTATTTATTACTTTCTATATTACACTGTGTTTGGCTCGGTAATCGAATGATGATAAACAATATCGTTGTGTGAGACGAAAATGTATTGCTGTCCGTGATTATTCAAAAACAAGGTATTCATTCAATCAGATCCCGAGAATGAATGAAATACAGATCAAGCAAGTATGTGAATCTTGATGGCTTTCCTGATCAAAACAGATATGGTGTATCTATATCTCCAACATGGGTATGGAAAGCCCAATCTGCCGAAATCGGAAACAAATCAGGTATGCGTCCCAACCCAAATAACCAACCATAACAATCAGTGGCGGATCACCGCAATACCTATTTTTTATTTCGCCCAAAATGTGCTTTGAAAATAATTATATTTAACTGGTCGTAGTTGAAATTCATTGAAATTATGAATTATGATACATCCTCCTTGTATCTGGTGAGGTCCAAATTGAGAGATGAACGGATACTGATGTAGTATCAGAAAAACGCATGTCCCTGATGTAAATAATAATATTTTGCCTGCAGTACATACACCCCTCACATTTTTCAAGGAAGGATTGAGCCTCAGATTTGTCTTGCTCCTAGGACCCCCATAACAATGTTGTTTATTCTTGATGACCTAGGACATCCTTTTCAGTTCGTAAGAGCTGAAGTTCAACTTTAGCTCCTAGGAACTGAAAGTATTGCCTAGCAACATACCTATGTTTGTGTCAGTAATAAAAATGTCAATTCAGGAGATAATCTTGATATTAAAATGGACGACTATTATGTCGGTTGCAGAAAAAATAGTGGATTGTTTTATTAGGATCAAAAGTGACACTTTGTTTGACAAGCGAATTTTACATTTGCGAGGCGGAGCGTTTAGCGAAGCCAAGCGAGAGCAACATTTGCGAGTCGAACAAAGTCACTTTTGATCCGAATGAAACATGCTATTTTTTTCTGCAACCGAAACAATTAACTCGAATAAACATGTGAAGTAATCACCAATGCCGTGCCACATGCATGCAATGCAACAAATATTGACAAATAATCCATGTGGTGAGAATATTCTACCTGCATTAACAGCAGGTTAGGTTTTCTAGGATGTTCGAATAGTAGTTTCAATATAAAGACAACCACATAGTGATATATTTGTGTATGGACCAGGTGCGATAGGAACAAGACGTAGAAAATGTTAGGTAAGTGAGCATATCAACAATGATAATAGTGATTATTTATTTCTCCCCATACTCCACTGTGTTTGTCTCGATAATCTGATGAAGGTAAACAATATATCGTTGTTAGAGACAAAATACTAATGCTTGCCGTGATTTTTCAAAAACAAGTTATCCATCCCGAGAATAACGAATGAAATACAGATCAAGCAAGTATTTTAATCTTGAAGACTTTCCTGATCAACACAAAAATACTTAACTGAGATGTTTAGTATTGCAATTATAATAATAAAGTGTATTTATATCTCCAGCATGGGTATATGAAATGCCAAATCTGCTGAAATCGGAAACAAATCAGGTATGCGTCTCAACCCAAATAACCAACCGTCACAATGTTGTTTATTCTTGATGACGTCCAGTAAATCCTTTTTAGTTACTAGGAGCTAAAGTTCAACTTTAGCTCCTAGGAACTAAAATTCAACTCTAGCTCCTAGGAACTGAATATGTTGCCTAGCAACATACCTATTTTTGTGTCAGTAATAGAAACGTCAATTCAAGAGCTAATTTTGGTATCAAAAAGGACGACTTTTTTGTCGGTTGCAAAAAAATAAATATCATCTCCAGTAATAAGTGGTTGATGATAATCAAACAGTAGTTACCTCTACAAAACCCATTTTGTGGTTCTGTTTTGAATCCCCAATTATATTCAGTGAATTCCAGCGCTCCACATAAGAAAGCAAGATCTGTTACCCTGCTTGCTTCCTCTCCTGATTCGAGTAGCAAGACGTTCCATTCGGGAATTTCGGTCAATCTGTTTGCTAATACCGATCCTGTAGGACCTGATCCAACAACTATGAAGTCATGAGTGGAATTTTCATCTGGAAAAGGGAGGTTCATATAAAACATCACAAGTGACATCAGATTCTAAATGTTTCAAACTTTATTGAATCTAGACCTATTCTAAATATATTTAGTTGGATTAGTCTACTGGCCCATAAATAGCAAATGGAAGGACAATATCATATCATGGTATCATTGCTATTATTGCAATATGCCGTATGACGGTAAGTAACTGAAACAGCGCACTTTTTTTATGTTTCTGGAGGTTATATGCTTCGGGGAAAACGTTCCTTGGCAATGTGTTCCAGATCCTTGCTGTTTGTTGGATGAACGAGTCTTTGGAAAGAGATGTTCTGCAGGTCTCCAAAGTGACCACGAGGGGGTGCGAAGCCTCAACTCGACGGGTTAATCTCGCGGGGACTGCCAAGGGAGGAATTCGCACACTATTTCGCGTCATTTTTTGACGTTTGTAGAGAAAAGTCCTTCGCGCATCCTCATTGTCCTCCCATTTGTTTCATATAGGTCAGTGGAAGAAGATAGAAAAGAAATATGTAGCACTATTAGAGATGAAAAAATTTCCAGAACTTTTCTCATCTCCCTGTTTTTCAAATAGGTTTATGAAATGATATCGATATATTATTGTATTCAAAGAACGTCTCTGTTGATAATTCATTCCATAATTGGCTCATGTCCATTTCAAACGCAATACCTCATGAATATTGATTAGTTACAGTTGAAAACAAAGTGATTAGTAGATGCCAGATGATAAAGAATGTTGATCTTTTTCACTTCTCATTGAGACTTTCAGGTAAGTATGAATTAATTGTCTCGCATGAATATTATAGGATTTGAAGAGTATTATAGGAATGTTTGGAAATGAAATTACGTCTCTCTGATGTTTCCAAGAGTTTGAATATTGATGCAATTCGAAATAATCATAAAGCATCAATTGCAAGAAAAACAGATCAGCATCTTAATGAATTTGGTCAAATTGTTGTCATTGTTTGTTTCAATTTCCAAATCATTTATTAATAAGCGATGAGTAATGGAATTATTTGATACCCATTGTTAGAAACTGGATATTACACCGCACCACCCTATACATCGATACCTTCTGATTCTATTAGTAAGACATGACTCAGATGGTTACGTTACATGATGAATAAGAGGACAGTCGTTGGAGAATATAGATTATTAATCGTTTATCTTTTGTAGAGCACACATCGTGAATATAAATTGTTAGAATTTGAATAGTGTTTCAATAACCATAGTCCAATATCTCAGAAGTGTGGATAAAGAACTGCTTAAGGAGTGAAAAAAAAATCATAGTGAAACTGTGTTGTTGTGTAGTGTGTAGTTGCCAAAATGCCGAGAAATAAACGAATACGAAGCCCTAGTTCATCGAGTTCTTGTGATTCAACGAGAGGTTCTAGTGCAAGTTCCACAACTTCTAATTCAAGCCAGACTACAGGGAGACGTCGGAAACGGCAAGAAAAGAAAATGTCAAGAAAGAAGAGAAGTTCGAAACGGTCGAGACATTCACGGGGATCCAAAAGAGTAAGATTGTCTGACAAACAGCTCATCGAAATAGGAGTGAGTACTGCATTGAATTCTTTTCGTGAAAGAAATAATAGCAATATTCTCGCAAAAGTTATACCTGATTTTGATCCAAAAAAAGAAAATGTTCATGAATGGTTGAATATTATCGATGAACATGCCAAATGCTATGATTGGGATGAAAATACAGTGAAATTCCAAGCACTCAACAAACTCAAAGGTACCGCTGAGAAATGGTACCACAATTATATCAAAGATGAAATCGGGTGGGCTAATTATTCATGGGCAAAATGGAAGAGACTATTGGGAGAAGTTTTCCAGGCAGATCGTAATACTTACGCCCTGTTCATGGACGTGGCCAATCATAAACCACGACGTGGGGAGTCCTTATATTCTTTCCATTTTGACCATCTGGCAAAAATAAATAAGCTCAAATTAAATTTTTCCGAAACCGACAAAATTTCTCTTATCTTGGGCTCAATTAATAATGAAACTGTATCATCCGCAGTAAATGCGAGTGGCATAAATAAACTGAATTCATTAGCTAATTATTTAAAGGATCGAGCACATGATAATAGTAGCACCAGTACCTCGACCAGTACTATTACGAATACCAAATCGCATTTTCATAATACTACGAGGGATGCCAAATTTCAAAATCAATTCCAAACTCAAACCAAAATTGAATGTCACACATGCGGTAAAACGGGGCATATAAAAAAAAACTGTAGCTTCAGAAATATCGCGAAAGAACAAACTTGTAAATACTGTAACAAGCCAGGACATTTTGAAGCTGCCTGTTTTCAGAAGAAAAAAAAGAACCAACAGCAAAAAGAATTCAAGGGAGAAGTTCAGTCAAAATTTGAGGTCAAGTTAATATCAACTGGAAAGAAAAGCAAATTCTTCAGAAATATTTCAATCAATAACAAAGAAGTGTCAGCTTTTATTGATTTCGGAAGTGATTGTTCTGTGTTAGAAAGACAGACTGTTGAGCGTCTGGGCCTACATACTTTTGATTTAGATCGTCCTATTTCTCTAGCCGGATTTTTAGGACATGGCATAGACATTCAGCAATTTGTCGAAGCCACCATAGATATCGGTGAAGTATGTCTCCCCTGTAAGCTTTATGTAATTGATGAATATTTGGAATCCAGTGAATGCATCATCGGTAGAAATTTCACAGAACATAAGGAAATCAATTATTGTAGGATTGGTGATGAATTGAGTTTTTTTTATGCAAACCAAGGAGTGAATAAAATAAATGAGATAATTGAATTCAATGAGGACACGGCAATTCAAAATCTTTTATATGAGTATCGTAGTATTCTTTCAGTTTCTTGTAATAATTTGAGCAAAATGAATTGCGAACCTATGAGAATAATTTTAACAACAGATAAGCCTATTTCTCGAAATCCATATAGGATGGCCGAAACAGAAAGACTGAAATTGAATGAAATCATCTCTGTATTATTGAAAGCAAACATCATTCAAGAAAGTCAGTCTCCTTACGCTAGCCCTGTACTTTTGGTAAACAAAAAAAATTCTGACGAAAAACGTCTATGCGTTGATTATAGGGCACTCAATGCCATAACAGTGAGAGATAAGTTCCCACTGCCTAGAATAGAAGATCTTATCGATAGGTTACGAAACTGTAAATATTTCAGTAGTTTGGACTTTAAATCAGGCTATCACCAAATACCAATGCATCCGGATTCTGTGGAGAAAACTGCATTTATAACACCGAACGGTCATTTCGAATACCTGAGGGTTCCTTTTGGTCTTTCCAATGCACCTTCAGTGTTTCAAAAAGCCATGTATAAACTATTTGGTAACATGACATTTGAAAATGTTATAATATATTTGGATGATGTACTCATAGTATCTAGAACGAAAGAAGAGAACCTGAATACGCTCAAGAGGGTATTTCATCTGCTTGCAGATAATAAAGTTACGCTCAATTTGCCCAAATGCTTTTTCCTTAAAGAAAGTATAACATTTTTGGGTCACCAAATATCAGGAGATGGTGTATCCCCAGACATGTATAAGATTGAAGCAGTAAAACAATTTCCGCAACCTAAGAATGTCCATCAGCTACGACAGTTTCTAGGCCTGGTGGGTTACTTCAGGAAATTTATTTATAAATTTGCTGAGAAGTCAAGCATATTAACGAAGTCATTGCGAAAAGGTGAGAAATGGTCGTGGACTGACAAACATACTCAGGCTGTGGAATATTTTAAAAAGATCTTGATATCAAGTCCACTACTTATAATATTCGATCCAAATTTGAAAACAATATTGTATACTGATGCTAGCCGGGACGGATTAAGTGGAATACTCATGCAAGTTACTCATTGCGGAGAAAAACCAGTGGCGTACTATAGCAGGCAAACCTCGTCACAAGAAAAAAAATATCATTCTTTCGAGCTCGAACTCCTTGCAATAGTAACCAGCGTTGAAAAGTACAGACATTACCTTTTAGGAATTGAATTTGTGATTCGTACCGATTGCAATGCTGTTAAAAATACCCTCAAGAAAAAAGATGTTAATACGAGAATAAGTAGGTGGGTTCTTGGTCTTCAAGAATTCACCTACCAAATTGAGCATAGACCAGGGCAACAAATGCATCATGTGGATGCGCTCAGTCGTAACCCAGTGATCAGTGAAAATGAAAACTCTAATGTTGAATCAGTTATGCTTATATCTGATGGGGATTGGTTAGCTAATGTGCAGAATGAAGACCCAGAAATTAAAAAGATAAGAGAAATTTTAGAATCGGGACTCATTGAAGAAGAGAAAGATATTTTCAATAACTATGATTTGAGGGCCGGTAGGGTATTCAAATTGACGGAGAATGGTCGTAGGTGGGTTGTCCCTAAAAATTGCCGATGGCAAGTAGTTCAAGCAAACCATGATGAAATGGGCCATTTTTCGGCTGAAAAGACTCTCAAGAGGGTTATGGATAGATATTGGTTTCCTAAAATGAGGAGGTTCATTACTAAATATGTAAGATCTTGTCTACATTGCCAATACCATAAAGTACAGGCAGGTAAAAAGCCTGGTTTCTTATTTTCTATTGTTAAATATGCCCGCCCGTTTCATACCCTGCATATAGACCACGTTGGACCATTCATAGAAACCAAAAGTGGTAACAAATATTTATTGGTAATTGTAGACGCTTTCACAAAATTCACTTTTGTTTCTGCAGTACCCAATACTAAAAGTAAACCAGTGATTGATCAGTTGAATAATATTATCAGTATTTTTGGATCCCCTTATCGAATGGTCTCCGATGCTGGAAAGGCCTTTACATCTTCAAAACTCCGAAAGTTCTGCACAGAAAAAGGAATTCGCCACTACCATACAGCCATAGCTATGCCCAGAGCTAACGGGCAGGTAGAACGTTTCAACAGAACCATACTTGATGCGGTGGCAGCAACTGGAGCCAACGTACAGACCAATGAGTGGGACACAAATATCGATAAAATCCAACTTGGACTCAACAGTACAGTTAATAAAACCACTCGAAGCACTCCTGCCGAGGTTTTTTTTGGCATTAAATTGAGCGCAACAGGGGATCGTTACGTTAATCATGTCATGGAAACACCACCAATTGACGTTACAAAATTAAGAGAAGAAGTCGGGAAGAAGCTAGAAGACAATAGGAGAAAGCAGGATGAATACCATAACGCTAAACGTGTTAGGGCCCCAGATTATCAAGTAGGAGATAAAGTGCTTGTCAAAGTTATGAACTTCGAAAGTGATGGAACCAGCAAAAAGCTAAGAGAAAAATTCAAAGGACCATTCACGGTACAAGAAGTAATGGGAAATGATCGTTATAAGGTCAAGGACGATTTGGGATCCGAGAGATGCAAAACTTCCAAACGCTATGAGGCAGTCATAGCAGCGGAACACATGAAACCATTCGTTTCAAGAACCGATGACATATGGTAAGCAATTTCTAAAACACTGGATCAATGACAGTACTGTAGAAATGATATAGATCATCATTCTAGGCAATTTCTAAAACACTGGCCTCGACAGGTCAGTACTGTAGAAATTCGGTAGAAATCGATGACGAATATATTTCTAAAACACTGGATCATTGACAGTACCGTAGAAATTATATAGATCATTATTCTAGGCAATTTCTAAAACACTGGCCTTGACAGGTCAGTACTGTAGAAATTCGGTAGAAATTGATGACGAAGAAATTATATAGATCATTATTCTAGGCAATTTCTAAAACACTGGCCTCGACAGGTCAGTACTGTAGAAATTCGGTAGAAATTGATGACGAAGAAATTATATAGATCATTATTCTAGGCAATTTCTAAAACACTGGCCTCGACAGGTCAGTACTGTAGAAATTCGGTAGAAATTGATGACGAACACATTTTCGAATCGCTGTATGTGCAGTCTTATGAAAATTCATTCCTGGATCATTGCGAATTTCTAAAACACTGTCTCACAGGAGCAGTCCCGTAGAAATTTGTTTAATAAGAAACGTCTCAAACACTGAGCATTTATCAACACACGTAAAGTACCAAAAAAAAAAAAAAAAAACGAATGACACCGACTGTCCAGATACTCATCAATACCGATTTTTGTTTCAGATCGATACCTTGAGGACAAGGACTTTGTAGGATGGCCGGATGTTAGAAACTGGATATTACACCGCACCACCCTATACATCGATACCTTCTGATTCTATTAGTAAGACATGACTCAGATGGTTACGTTACATGATGAATAAGAGGACAGTCGTTGGAGAATATAGATTATTAATCGTTTATCTTTTGTAGAGCACACATCGTGAATATAAATTGTTAGAATTTGAATAGTGTTTCAATAACCATAGTCCAATACCATGCTATTACTCACCAATATATTTTGGCTGCGGATACAAAGGGTTAATCTCAGGAAATATCCTCAATGCATTCAGTAAATAACTGAGTAAGTTCCCTATGATCACATAATTTTCATGAGTAGTGGGTACCAGCAGTAAAATACAGGTCAGCACTATCAAACGTATCTCCTAAAATCGAATCCTCAGTAATACGTACTACTTGAGTGTTTCCTTATAAAACATAGGAAGAACCTGATTGATTGACCTTTGAACTGTTTATGCTCAGATCGATACGATAAAATTGAAAGATATAACGGGTGTCCGAGAGCTTTTAAGCCAGCAGATATCTGGGATATCAAAGTTAGAGAAAACAACAACAATCGTGGAATATATATGGAAGAAAGATATCTCCAAGTCAATGAAATCGAATCGCATGTCATGTCAAGCAATCTATGAGAAACCACCCCTAACTTTTGGATTATCAATTTGCACCCTCATGTTTTTCTCTGTTCACTTTATAAAACTTTTAATTCTCAATTCAGTGATATATCAGACTGTACAGGGTGTTTCATAATATAAGCGCAGAACTTCAGGATCTGATAGCTCGTCCAAAATTATGAAAAACAGTTTTTATCAACTTTCCCCCCAAAATGTACCATTTTCGAGATACAGGGTGTTGAAATTTGAGGAAAACTTTCTATTTTTGCGAATATCTCTGGAACAGTATATTGCACAGAGAACAAATGAAAATAAAAAAATTGTTCTTATCCATCATCCAGCTTTCGTAAGCACTATCTACTCATAATGAGCTATGTTTTGTGCGGAATTTATTTTTTTAAGTCATAATTGGTGAAGATTTTGAAGGGTTTTCTACACAAAGAGAATTCGTGGTCATAATAGGCTCTAAAATTGACCGTTTTTTGAGAAAAATCAACAATCATGTTGAAAATCATGGTAAATTTTTGGAAACAAACTTTTTTTTACCAATTGAAGAAGATCTATTTAATTTCTAGAACAAGTAACAAAACAAAAGGTTCTTTCATATTACAAAATTGAATGGAAAAATCAATAGCAAATCATACTCAGTTAAATCAAGATGTGCGTTTCAAAGTTTAGATGTGAAAACCAAAAAAGCTCTGCATTTCAAAGATGATTTCAGTAGAATACCGAGTGTGCTATATTTTTGGAATGGTAATTTCAAGCTCTATTGAAATATGTAAAAATATACAGGGTGTCCCATTGGAAAAAAATATTTTTCCTTTATAAACTATTGATATATACTTTCAAAAAATAAATAACTTATACCATTGAATCCTACGTGAAAACAGGCTCTGGAAATGTTTTCATAGACACAACAAATTTTCGACAGGAAAAAAGTTACAGCAAGTTTTCGAACATGCACATTTTCGGAAAACATGCTGTAACTCAGAAACGATTATAGATATCGATGTGCGGTTTTCACTATCAAGTTGGTCATAAAAATTGACCAACAGACACCGACATCAGTTTTCGTCCATCTGGTTCGGAAATAGGACTTTTCCTTTGAAAGTGTCCAATTTGGCCCACCCTGTACGTGGTTAGCTTCAATGCACGCAGCAATTTCTCAAATCTAGAGGACTCAGCCAAGCATAACATTTTTGTTTAGAGAATATTGGCAGTTCAAATGGGTTGCTCAAAACTGTACTTTTTCCAGTGGCGTAGAATTTGGGGAGGAAAACACTCACTACCCTTTCAAAATCTTCACCAATTATGACCTAAAAGAAAACAACTCCGCAAAAACACAGTTTATCATGACTAGAAAATGCTTACGGAAGCTGTTTTTTGTGCGACATACGGTTCCAGAAAAATTCGCAAGAAAAGATTTTTTTTTAAATTTCAACACCCTGTATCTCAGAACTAGTTCCTTCCAGAGGGTTTGTTAATGAAACTTGTTTTCATAATTTTGAACGAGCTATCACAAGTCCTGCGCGCATATATCATGAAACACCCAGTATATTCAATGAAGAATCCATCCTCGGAAATTTCGGATGATTTCGTTAATTTTTATTGAAAATCACCGATTTCTTATTGAATGATTGTTCGAAATGTATGTTATCAATTGATATACTTACCTCATTTCATCTATTCGACTGATTTTTCAAGGAATAAATGTACTTCTTTATAATTCTGATTACAACGCTATACATCGATAGTTATGTACCTACCTATGAAAAGTTCTATATGAGCTAGGTGAAAAGAAAACAAGATAGAGGTGCTATTTGAAAAAGCAAAGTAAGGGGTGGTTTCTAGTAGATTTGATTTCGCCATTTTGAAGTGCTTTTTTTCCCATGAATTCCATAATGTTTTGAAATATTTTGTATGTTAGGTAAACCAGATATCTGCTGGCATATAAAAGCTCTAGGACACCCGGAATACTATAGTTTTAGTAGAATGCTCTTATCGGTCTCAAGAATATGTCATTCAGTAATTATTTATATTGAAGATCTGTACTACCTGCATACACGTAACTGATCAATAGAATGAAGAGATTTTGTATTTCGTGTAAAATTAATTATCCAATCGCAAAGCGCTTTCGGCTAAAAAGCCATCAACAGTGCTATGCTCGTCAAGTATTTACAAAAAGATCAAAAAATTCGAGATCAAAGACATCATTATGGTACAAACGGAATTAGGAACAGACATACATTTAACAAAAAAATCCCCTAATGTGTTATTGTAAAATTTTTCAAAAATACATTTTAAAATTGTTCAGTTCAGGTCCCGGAAGAGCACGAGGGACCTTAACCTCTAAGGTTAAGGTTGAAAAATTTCACAATAACCCATTAGGGAACTTTTTTGTTAAATGTATGTCTGTTCCTAATTCCGTTTGTGCTATAATAATGACTTTGATCTCGAATTTTCGGACTTTTTTGTAAATACCTGATGACGAGTATAGCACTGATGATGGCTTTTTAGTCGAAAGCGCTTTGCGATTTGATAATAAATTTTTTTTACGAAATACAAAATCTCTTCGTTCTATTGATTATTTATATTCACGATCATTAAGATAATTCCAAGAGAGACAGAGAAATTAGGAAGAAATGAAGGGGTTTTTGTTTGAAGAACGAACTTTGTAAAACAAGAACAGGATCATCCTGGAATCCATTAGGAATCAGGAAGAAAGTTTGGTGAACAACAAGAGTTGTAGAAAGAAAAATATAGGTAGTCATTTCAAAAAGGAATTGATTCAAAGTATAGATGGAAAATTAACTTCAGGGAAGAATAATTATATAGATTCAGGAATGAGAGATCAGATATTCCGATAATGTTCACGTATAATGCAAAAAAATATTCAATATTCATAATAATATATCAACTGCAAAAGATCGACCTATATCTCACCATGATTTCTGGAATTCACTCACGAAATTCAGGCACGTTTTCAGTAGGTACACTTTTGATGTTCACTACTCGATTTCTGGCTGTGCAATATATTACACTTTTTCTTGAAGACCCATCAAGGTATGCTTGTATAATACGAATTGAATGTCGTAACTTCTGCCTTCAGCAGTGGTATATATACTACCTGACATAAACCAGGTAGCTATAGGATTGAAAATAATAATTGTTTTTTAGGCATTTCTGCTGTTTATATCTTTCAAATATCTATAGGATTACCGCCAACAGGGGCCTTATATCGGATCGTAGAGGTTATACCGGATTGATATTTGTTTTCAGCGTTATCATGACCTCCATGAGCTCAAAACTTCCTTTTACGTCTTAGCTTTACCTGAAATGATCGAAAAAAATTTTTTCAGGGGTAGTATCGAGTGTGATATAAAATATACAAAGTGGTTTTGAAATAAGTGCACAGATTCAGCATATCAATATGATACAGTCTAAGGAATATTCCCATGATATCAGATTTTTCCTAATTTTCCTACTTAACGAGAAATTCCATCCCAAAAATTGAACAAAATACGAAAAAAACAATTTAAATGATTGAACTCCGCGTGATTGTGCCTACCGCATGGAAATTTGAACAGAGGTGACGTCAGATTTGCTACAATGTAGAGCTTCGAGTGGAAAAAGGAGTCTGACCTCAAATTTTATTTTGATTCCTAAACTATTTTTATTAGTGCCATTTCATAGTACACGTCGAGCTTTCTAAGTGTTCGAAATATTTGCACTTCATTTCAATGCCACCCTGTGTATACATTTGATATGTCACCTTATATTCTCAGTTTTTTTTATTGCATCAAATGTGGAATTGATTTTCCTTCGTCATCTGTTGGTCTTACATTATTTTGATATAATATAAGTTGACTTATATATTCTTAAACATAATTATGTTTCTTTGTTTTCCACGATGGTAGAGCTTATTTTCTTTCCTTATATATTGTTCTGAAATGTTGTTCTTGAATAAAAATGTTTATTCTCATGAATGAAACTAAAGCTCCAGTTTCAAGGAGGAAAATGATACTGGTGACTTTTTTGTGGGTATTTTTCTATTTTTTGAACTATCACTGTGAAGTTGGATAAAGATTCATTGTTGAGATTTCATTCCAATTAATTATTATAATAGTCTTTCACTACTGGATAGAAGAAAGAAATCCTGCAGACTTTGATTCACGATTGGTATTCCATTTCGATCATTATTCAGCCTTGCATCTTGAATGTAGGTGACTTATTGTGTTATTGAATAAGATAATTAGATTATTAAAACAAAAATATTCTAAACCCCTGATAAAAAATTTTCCGGGAAAAAATTGGAGAAAATCAATTGAAATGCTGTATGAAAACAAGGTGAGTCGGAATAAAATCGAATAAATCATTTCATTATTGAACTCCTTCCTCAATAATTTCATGAAAAAAAATTCTATCAAGTTATTTCCAGAAATGTACCCTGCCTGAAATACCTTCAGTGTGATTTTCTCAATGCTTTCAATATCCAAAAATGGTCATGTGGTTGAAAAATATTTCACAATCATCATTATGGGTTGATGGCACCCCAGTAATCAATAATATCTTTATTTAATACATTTTATAGGACATATCCATCAGTATTTCCTCAATTTCTCGAAAAATTCAATATCTCATAATTTGGTCTCTGATTCAAGAAAATTGAGAATGAAATTAAGCATTTCCAGACACGAGTTTATGAAGATTTTATTTCTCGAAATTGTCTCAGGAATACGTCACTTGAATAT